GACATAGCTATCCGGTCAGGTGATGTCGAGATCGAAATATTTAATTCATACAGTGACGAGCAATACTGTAACAGGTTAAAGGCGCTTTTATTTTGACTAAGTATATTTCATAATTTTTTTTTTAATGTTGTGTGTATTTTATCGTATTTTACCTGTTCTGTAAAACAATAAACTACTGTGCACAGCAAAAATTAAAAGGAACTAAAGTGTTAAAGTTATGCTCGCGCGTCATGTGAGCGTTTATTACCGATGTTTTTTTGTAATTGTAATAAGCACGCGGGAATTTTTTAGTTGTGCACAGGTTAAACCAAAATTATTTGAAAACCACGTCTAACAACATATGTGGTCGGTGTCGGTCATGGTTGGGGGGTGTATCACGCATTAATGGAATCATGCGTAAGGAGGATATGAATCCAATCGAAAATTTGTGAAGTCAGGTCAAGGTGCACCTAGCGAAGTACCCTAAACCTCCTAAGGGGGTTAATTAATTGTAGGAGCGGACTAAAGAAATTTGGAATGCAATTCCCCTGATTTTGTATCGTAACATACAAAACTAATGTCTAACCGATTGAACGCCACTGTTGTTGCTGTTTAGCTTGGTTTTTTGCACCGCAGCTATCGATATGCCTTCCCGGGTCATAAAATCAACTGTCTCTTCGATATCCGTTGCAGTTCAGTTCTAAAAGTCGGGTTTGTCACGATAAATTTGTAGTGATCCTGGGAGTGAGGGAGTTGTGTACAGGCGGTTGTAGTTGCAGCGGTATTACCTGCAGGGGCGGGACACCCGTACTTAGCCCTTTCTTTCTTGCTTTAATGTATAACTTTTGCACTCAACTGTGTAGGTCGTTCCCCCTACAGTCGAGACTATGTAACCGGAGAGGACCGGGATTTTTATCCGACCAAGGACTGCCAACTCGGCAGAATTCTGCCGTTACAACAACAAAAACGGGATAGGTAGGTAGGTTTTTATTTAGTTTTGTCTGTGCAACCTCTGAGACGTCGTCAAGAAACTCTCGACCGATAGTTTATATATATATTTATTATAGATTATTTTCCTATATAGGCCCTTACATTCGTATAGAAGATGTTTTATAGTCTCTTCCTCTTCTTCCTTTTGACAGCTTCTACAATAGCCGTTATATGGCGTTCCTAGTCTACTGGCATGCTTGCCAATTAGACAGTGACCTGTTAGCACTCCTACTAGAATTCTTATATCATTCCTTTTAAATTTTAATAGTCGGCATCTTCTTCCCATCTTCCAATCTTGCCGCGTTTGCCTTGTTGAGCAAGTCAGCGATTGATCCCATCGAGACTCTAATATGTTTATAACATATTTGTCTATTAAATATCTACAAGTAGCCAGAGGCATATTCTCTCGTTTCCGGACTCTAGTTGTAGTCTAGTGCCTGTTCTGGCTAGTTCATCTCACCAATTGCAGGTTTATCGTTCGTGAAATAGGATGTTAGATCCACTTTGAGACCACGGCATTCTTTCTCTAATTTTGACGAGACCCTAACAGGCTTAAGTGATTTCAAAGCCGCCTGGCTATATGTATATATAAATATCCTTGTTGTGAGCTCACTCTACGATGCTTTCGAAGCCCAAGCCACAGTCCGATACGAAATAATCGGTCTCAAGATTATAATGTACATCTATCTGATAATCCTCAGCCCCAAGATATCCCGACAAATCGATTGCACACCATGAGTGCATTTGTAGCTTTGACTATGTCAATCAAATTATCTAATGTCAAATCTTCATGATGCTTCCACCGAAGAGTGAAATTCAGAGTAAGACACAGATATTTGACCACATAAGTCATCTCTAATTCACTGCTGCCAAGGGATAAGTTTCTGAGGCCTGGCAGGGACCTTCTCCAGTGCTTTTGCCTCGCTTTCGTGAGACGTATTGTCAAAAGCACCTTCGATGTCTAGGAAGGCGCATAGCATTACTTCTCCACTATCCAGTGAACTTTGGATTTCCGCAGTTAACTGGTACAGAGCAGTATTAGTTGACCTTTCTGCTCTGTGAACATTATGATTCGCATGTAGAGGTGCAGCCTTCAGCGCCTTTGATTTTATTTCGTAATCCATGATCTTTTCCAAATTCTTAAGTGGGAAGGAAGTGAGTGACCTTTCTTCCTACTTTGGTTATAAAGATCACTTTTGCAGTACGCCATGGTTCCAGGATATGCGCCAACGATAACTCATCAGCCGAACAAGGTGGGGCAGTAAAACTTATTCCTCCTGTTGCAGAAATGCTGGAAAGATGCCATCCGCCTCCAGAGACTTATTATATTTTGGGAAATAAGCCATAGTCTCACAGTAAAAAGCTGTCTTGCTTGCTGCTTGCGTTCTCGTTCGAACTTTTCGGCTACCTCAGTAGTTTTTCCCTCCTGGAGGTGCCTTAGGTACGACTTTAGGTTGAAACCGCTCATACAATTCTTTCGAGGATTGTCTTGTTTACCGGGACAAGCTGCTGGTGGGAGAGCATACAATCTGCCTCATCTCTTCCTCTTCTTTTTGCGAGCACCCCCCGTACAAGCCCGTTGCGACTCACCCGAATCCGAGGAGCTGAGCCGGCTAGAGGCAGTTTTGGTGGTGTTCGCTTCCACAGCAGCGGCCGCAGTTGATGTCGGCATGGGGGCATGTCATCGTCATCATTTTTGGCATGATCCTCAAACAACGCACGCTCCTCAGTCGATGGGGCATCCAAGAAGCTGACCGTTTATGAAGGGAACGCAGAGGTCCACCGCACCAGAGTCCCATGACGCGATAAGGCCACCGTTACTTCCCAATGCGGTCCGGTGTTGGGATGGCTCCGTTCGAATCATTCTGGCTGCAGATCATCCAATGGGCACGGGAGTCGCATAACACCCAGGATTAGCAGTTAGCAGCTCTTAGCTGTCGCATGCATATGGTGCCTGACAACCCGCATGAAAAGTGCCATTCAGTACCATTCATGGTGGTTGGGAGGTGCCGAGTATGCCTTGCGACTTAAGCCCCTGCACCACAACAAGGTGCCTAGTATTCGCAGAGGGGTGATACCAGGCCAGCAGCTTCACTTTTCTAGATAGATCAATATGTGCAAAAAGAAATATTAAATTGGACGAAGAGGCGAAACTGCTATTCTTAGCTAAAATGACCTTTGTGTCCTTCCGATACTTCTGATTTCGATTAAGTTTGGTTTTTTTAATGTCGTGAGTGTAAATTGTTATTAAAAAAATTAAATTTAAGAACAAAAATTTGTTTTAATTCCTTTTTTCTCCTCCACCTGATGCGAATACTAGCTACTCTATGTTTACTTTCCATACGTCTTACCGCATATTTCTCCCAATCCTCGTGCGAGATCCACTCAGCATTTCCTGGTTCCTCGCACAGTCTGTTCCGTGTGTCAGACCGCAATACGCTAGAACGTCACATCCGTCAAGTGTAATTCTTGTGCTGGTTGGTGTCACTTTCTGTCGTGTTCCGGCCGGCGCACCACACGTGAGTGGAGTGCGTCGTATGTTGCCCCGTGCTGTAGGAGTCTGCCCCCCCAATCCCATAAGGGGCGTCGCCAGACAACTGTGGATTTACCCTTAGAAAACGCATGCTGTGAAACTGCCATTTTTTCCTGGGTTTAGTTTTCCCCTTATGTGTATTTCTATTAGTCTCTCAAAAGTTTTTAAGAGAAATGAGGAAAGACTAATTGGTCTAAAATCCTTTGGATTAGTGTGTGAGCTTTTGCTGACCTTTGGTACATATATCACGTTGATTTTCCTCCATATCGGGGGGAATATAGTTTAATTGCAGTGCCTCTTTAAGCATGGATGTTAACCAGTTTATTTTGTAGCTCTGGGACTGCTGTAACTGAGCCGGGAATATCACGTCTGATCATAGCTTATCAGGCTTGAAGCTGTCTATTGCCCAATAGACATTACTGTCTGACACTATGTCTACAGGAAGGGACTCTGCTTCCACTTCACTGCCCAGTGTATACTCCATTGCGTGGTTTTCAGAGTTGCCTGTGAAGTGAGTATCCATTAGCAGGCTTAGAGACTTTTCACTTGATATCGTTCAGCTGTGGTTTGTCTTCTTTAGATATCCAATGTTATGCACCCATTGTGTCATTATTTCTCTAAGTCGAGACGCTTCCTCCGTATTGTCGATATCATTACAAAAAGATTTCCACAAATTTCTGTTTGCGTTCCTGATTTTTTTTTTTGCCCTTAAGAGGTTATAATAGTTATCCCACTTCTCTTCTCCTTGGTATAATTTGGGTAAATTAAATTGCTTCCTGCAATATTTCTGTAAGTTCTTAACTACATGAGACCACCAAGGGGGCCTTATTTAACTAGGATGTCTAGGCCTATTTATCAATTCTTCCGACCTGAGTGTGATGTTTAATACCTCCTGCCGGTTAATCTCTATTACATAACACCAGCCTAGTACCTAGTAGGTAGTTAAAGAGTATAGTCATGCACCTGTATGCTTCACTGTCTTGTACATGCTCTTTCGACAGCTACGATGGTATCTCTACATCATCATACGGCATGTAGCATGACACCAGCCAATGTTTGCTGCTGGCAGTCGCCCAGTTTACTGCTGTGGTGTCCTAATTTCTATAGCTTTGTAACAAGAAGACATTAAGCGTTTTATTAGCCAATATACATGTCCTAACCATACCTAAGCAGTTTGCCATGTATAGATTATTCCCCGATGTCTTTAGTCCTGAACGAGGATGAAGTCAGTCTGCGAGGATGAAGTTATTTGAATTTTGGATATAACTAGTAACTATCTAATAACCGCAACTTAAATTTTTTTTAATTATATGCAATATTATGTAATAAATCGTATTCAATAAAAACTCTAATACAATTTTTTTGATACGTTGGATACGCATGTTAGGTGACGATATTATTGTAGAAAATGGCTTTCTATAATTTTTATTAAAATTAAGTTATATGGAATATAATATGGATAATATAGATTAAAAATTTTTCGATTATTTCGTTTTAGATTTGATGTTATGAATCATGCCGGTTATCATTTGGTTCCTTCTGGCATTTATGCTACCTTACGTGACTTCAATAGGAAGCATTAATACCCAAAATAGCCAAATTAAAAGTAACAGTAGAATTAATGAAAATAATCACATCAGCACAGATATTTTATATGCTAGCTCCTTATTAAATGCTGTACGTATTCACAAGACCGAACTTTTGAGCGATGAAGAGGACCTTGTGCAAAACAGCGACGGTATAATCGACGGTTTTACATCTGCTAGCTTAAAATCTGCGCTTTCTGATAACAATGGCGGAAGTTCACCATCTTCATCTGAATCAGCACAATTCGGTGGTAAAGACGATAGTGAGAAAGGTGGTGCTGTAGATGCCAAAAACTATAGCAACATAATAACTAATGTTATTAATTTTGATACACGGTTGAACCATTTGGTTGTCGACCCATTCACTGGACGAGTGTTTGTGGGTGGTGTCAATTATTTATATCAACTTTCACCAGAGTTAGAATTACACGAAACAGTAAAAACCGGTCCAAAAAATGACTCTGTCGAATGCACTGTTCTAGATTGCCCAGCTCATGCCGTACGCAAGCCTACAGATAATTATAACAAAGTGTTGCTCATCGATCGTTCGACCTCACGTTTAATTGCGTGTGGATCTTTATTTCAAGGTACGTGCACAGTCCGTAATTTGCAAAACGTTAGCATTGTCGAACAGGATGTACCAGATGCAGTTGTTGCGAATGATGCAAACTCATCAACTGTAGCATTCATAGCGCCAGGGCCACCGCAACCTTCGATTACCAATGTCATGTATGTTGGTGTCACGTACACAAATAACTCTCCATATCGTAGTGAGATTCCTGCTGTAGCATCACGCTCACTGGAAAAAACTAAAATGTTTCAAATCGCATCATCGGCAGTGACAACGGGAACAAGAACTTTTATAAATTCGTACGCCCGTGAAGGATATTTAATTAATTACGTTTATGGATTTAGTTCCGAAAGATTTTCATACTTTTTAACGACCCAATTGAAACACAATTATCATTCTTCGCCGAAAGAGTATATAACGAAAATTGTGCGTATTTGCCAGGAAGACTCAAACTACTATTCGTATACAGAAATCCCAATCGACTGTATAACTGGTGGAACAAAATATAATCTAGTTCAGGCTGGTTACTTGGGCAAGCCGAGTATGGATCTAGCCGGAAGTCTGGGTATAACAGTCCAAGATGACGTTCTGTTCGGAGTATTTAGTGTTGGAGATGGAAATGTATCTACTGATAATTCAGCTTTGTGCATTTACTCATTAAAATCTATACGACGAAAATTTATGCAGAATATCAAATCTTGCTTTAACGGCGTTGGATCTCGCGGTCTGGATTTTATATCACCAAATATGTTATGTGTTCCAACTGTAAGTATTATGTAAAATTGTTGTTTGTGATTTTAAAAACTTTTCTAATAACTTACGAAATTAAAGTAATAATTCGAGAGCATTCATTAAGTATATGTATTGTTGTTTATAGTAAAACTGGTTATCACTGGTTTATGTATTGAAAAAAAATTTTGTAAATTGAACAAATTGAGTACAAACAATAAACTGAATTTCTTAAAACATAATATGAACAAGTAAGGAAAAGTGTAACCGAACATTTGATACTCTCCTGATTTCCGAAGATGTCGAAAACAGCAACCAAAGAGGAACGGAAATCAATAATTATTGATACGAAGTTTAGACCAAATCAATAATTATTGATACGAAGTTTTTACTCAAGTTCTCACTTGCACAGACAGACGGACGAACATACAGTCACTCGGAATTCAACTTGTTTCGTCATTTAGAGCATTTATATGTTTATAACTTAAATTCTAAACCAAATAACTTCAGAAAATTTATGGATATTATTTCGAAATTGTTCATAGAAATTACAAACTATTGGCGAAGATTTTTGCGGACTCGACGTGAACTCGCCATTGGGCGGTGAACAACCCATCGCCGTTATACCCGTAGCCAAGTTTAATACTCGACTAACGGCAGTTGCGGCTACAAGTACTAGTGGATATACAGTCGTTTTTATTGGCACTGCAAATGGACACCTAAAAAAAGTAGTTGTCGAATCGGTGGATTCCGCAAATGAGTACGCAGATATACCAATTAAAGTGGGTTCTCCTATTAATCCAGATATGCACTATGATAGCCGAAATCTTTTCATATACGTAATGTCGCATAATGAAGTAGCCAAAGTTAAGGTTTATGATTGCTCCGATTATGGAACATGTGGGGAGTGTTTGGGTGCACGTGATCCCTATTGCGGGTGGTGTTCGCTTGAAAACAAATGTAGTCCACGTTCTAGCTGCCAAGATGATGCCAACGACCCTCTATACTGGGTTAGTTATAAAACGGGCAAATGCACTACAATTACAAGTGTTGTACCACATCAACTTCAGCGTACTACAGCAAGAACTTTAGAACTCATTATCGACCATTTGCCGCAATTGAAAGAGAACCTTGTATGCGCATTTACTACTGAAGAAAAAGCACTCTTTACGAATGCTACAAAAAAACGTAATGGTGTGAATTGCACAACTCCACGTACAGATATGCTACCACAAATAGAACAGGGAAAACATCATTTCACCGCCAAACTATCCGTACGAACTAAGGATGGACCAGATCTTGTCTCCACAGATTTTACTTTCTTTGATTGTAGCACACATTCATCCTGTACTCGCTGTGTATCTTCAGAATTTCCTTGCGATTGGTGTGTAGAAGCTCATCGATGTACGCATGACACTGCTGAAAATTGTCGTAATGACATTCTTGTTACTGGAGTGAGTCGCATTGGACCTAGTTATCGCTCAGGCCCTGGATTTTGTCCAACTATAAATGCCACTGGGGAAGGTAGTGAGATGCTTGTTGCTGCTGGGACTAGTAAGTCCATAAAAGTGAAAGTGCATATAATCGGGCAGTTCATAGTGCAAACACGTTTTGTATGCCAGTTTAACATCGAAGGACGTGTCACTAGTTTAAATGCACAATTATTGGGAGATACTATATATTGTGACAATATGGAGTTTCAATACACTTCCCGCTCTCCCAATTTAACTGCAACATTTGCTGTTATCTGGGGTGGCTCTAAGCCACTCGATAACCCTCATGATATTCATGGTAAGTAGTATTTTTAACGGAAAAAAATATTATTTCAACATAACAAACATTAAGGTATTAGGTAGGTGTAGTCGGAGACATGAAAAAATTACAATTTGAAATAATTTTTTTTTACCAGTACATTATTTTATTTTATAAAAGTAAAAGCATAACACCATTAAGGTTTCGGCTTGGCTTGACTGAAATTTTAATAAATATAGTTTTAAAAAAAACTAAAAAACACGCCTTTAAACCACTTCAAACTAAAAAGTGAAAAATAATTCCTTATATAAACTGACAGATATATTGACCAACAAATATTTGTATTAATATGAGAAAAATGTGATGTGCCCGATATACGAAAAATATGGCACAAACCATCGCACGCTTTTCTCACACGTGATTTTACCCACAGCGTATGAAAAGTGCTCAAAGGACTTACTATCAGCAAATTTGGTTGAGTTAGCTTTGGCGGATTGTATTTTTGGATATTTAATAATTTGGGTGGCGGGGTTACGCCCGCTTTTAAAATAATGGGAAACTGCTTTCAAACAATTGCATTGTCATCGGTCTTTGATACGTATGCAAATTTTCAAGTTGATCAGACTTCTGGAAACCTGTGAAAATTGAGTTGTAATATTCCATTACATATGTACATACATATAACGCTAATATTATATAAGCGTGTTAAAAAAGAAAAGAAATTTGAAAAGTAATGGATTTTTGCGTTGATTCAGTTCCGCCCGAAGCTCCTTGCGGTAACTATCATTGATCCTTGGAGATAATTCTAAAATCAATCAGACAAAAGAATTAGTTTCATTAAGAGATAAAGTAGTGCCTGATTGAAGTTGTGTTTTTTTTTAAATTACAAAATGGCTGTCTCAGGAAAATTTTTGGTATAAAACTAACATATTTAACTGTTTATGGTATAAAAAAATCGAAATTAAAAAAACTCTCGATAAGGCTCTACTTTTTCATGTTTTCAAAAATCTGCATAAATTTTATTAAAATCTGCCTTGCGGTGATCGGCTATAGAAGTTACCAGTTCAAAAAACATAGTTTTGAGAAAAACGCATTTAAAGTTTTACACTCAATTTTACCGGTCGCTTGCAGCTGCTGCTAACTACCTGCTTTCGAGCGTCCGATAACCCTTTGCTAATCATTGAATAAATCGCAAAGTATTGTCGGATTTACTCAAAATTTTCAGAGAATATTTCAAAGATGCTATTTAAGAAAATGCAAATTCTGACAACTTCTAACGCCATAAAAACTGTGCAGTTTGCATTGTTGAGAGAAACGAGCAAGTAATGTTTGTTTGTGCCTTTTGCCTTTTAAATTTATCAAAATGCTTTAGCTTATAGTTAAGAAAAAAACTAATAATATAAAATATACTTTATTTTTTTTATGGTTTTTTTTTCTATTATTATTTAGTTGTGATATATAGATGTCGTGATATGGCTGATAGCTGTGGCATGTGTTTAGCTTTATCAGAAAAATATAATTGTGGTTGGTGTTCGTCTACAAATACGTGCGAAGTAGAAGAACAATGTAATAAAAATAATGAAGGTAAAACTGATTGGTTGAATCGTATGGAAACTTGCCCCAACCCTGAAATTCATTTATTTTACCCAAAAACTGGTCCCTGGGAAGGCGGGACCAACATTACTATACGCGGTATCAATTTAGGAAAAAATTTCTCCGACATATATTCAGGGGTACGAATCGCCGGTATTAGCTGCATGCCTTTCCAAGAATACTATGTTGATACAAAGGAAATAGTTTGCAACGTAGATAGTCCTGGTGTTCAACTGTATCGAAGTGGTCGCATTGTCGTACAAATTGGTGATTATAGGGGTGAATCTAAACAGGATTACGAATTTGTTGATCCAAAAATTACAAATTTTACGCCACAATATGGCCCAGTTTCTGGTGGCACTCATTTACGGATAGTTGGCAAATATTTGAATGCCGGATCCCGAATTCAAGCATTCATAAACGAGCATCTGCGTTGCGAAATAATAAGCGTAGATGTTACGGAAGCTATATGTCGCACTGCACCTTCACCAGGTATCATAGAAGGTCGCCTCAAAATGCTATTTGACAACGGACCCCGAGAGTTTAACGAATATAATTTTAAGTACGTTCTGGACCCCAGTATCGACCAAGTGTCGTCAGGTCCTAGTAGCCAACTAAAAGTACCCCGTGGCATTCCAGCAGGAGGTATTGAAATCGCTGTAACTGGAACTCAATTTAACTATATTCAAAGTCCCAGAATGTACGTATATTATAGAAGTGAAATATTTTATAGCCAATGTAAGGTACAATCGGCGACGGAGATGTTATGTTATTCGCCTGTAATTGAAACTGGCAATGACTTATTTGATGCAGATAATCCGGAACTACTAGAATACGGATTTATTATGGACAACGTTTTGAGAGTTCAAAATCTCTCTAGTAAGCAAAATAATCATTTTGAGCTTTATCCAAATCCTTTATATTACAATTTTGAAGAGGATATAAAATATTATAAAAGTGAATATTTAACCATTAACGGGCGAAATTTGGATCGCGCATGTAAGGAAACAGACGTAATAGTACGAATTGGCAGAGGTATTTGTAACATAACATCACTGTCCCGTCAACAATTGACATGCCGTCCGCCACCAGAAGTAGCAACAGAAACGGGCAATGAATCGGGGCCAGAAGTAATTGTGCGTATAGGACATTCTTTGCAATATCGTATTGGAATATTAAGCTATGCATCACCAAATTTAATGCATGATTTGAGCAAGAATGTACAATTAGGCATCGGGGCAGGTACAGTGGTGATTCTTTTAATTTTTGTTGCATTTCTTGTGGCATACAAAAAGAAAACTTCGGAATCCAATCGCGTTTTGCGTAACATGCAAGAACAAATGGATATATTAGAGCTTCGTGTTGCGGCGGAATGTAAAGAAGCGTTTGCCGAACTTCAAACTGAAATGACAGATTTAACAGGTGATCTCACTTCCGGGGGAATACCATTTTTGGACTATCGTACATATGCTATGAAAATTCTTTTTCCAAATCACGAAGATCATATTGTACTACAATGGGAACGTCCTGAATTGCTACGAAAAGAAAAGGGGTTACGTCTTTTTGGCCAACTTATAATGAATAAAACATTTTTATTACTTTTTATTCGAACATTAGAATCGAATCGTTACTTTTCCATGCGTGAGCGTGTTAACGTCGCTTCTCTAATAATGGTAACACTTCAATCAAAGTTGGAATATTGCACCGACATACTAAAAACCTTGCTTGGCGATTTGATTGAAAAATGTATTGAAGGTAAGAGTCATCCAAAACTTCTGTTGCGTCGTACCGAAAGTGTGGCGGAAAAAATGCTTAGCGCTTGGTTCACCTTTTTGTTGTATAAGTTTTTGAAGGAATGTGCTGGTGAACCTTTGTATATGCTGTTTAGAGCAGTCAAAGGTCAAGTAGACAAAGGACCCGTTGACGCGTGTACACACGAGGCTCGTTACTCACTAAGTGAAGAAAAGCTTATACGTCAACTTATCGATTTTCGCCCAATGACTGTGTATGCTAGTATTATACAACAGCCAATATTCTGCAATAGTATTGATATGATGCCAACACATACCGAAAATGTACCTGTCAAGGTACTAGATTGTGATACAATTGGTCAAGTTAAGGAAAAGTGTTTGGACACAATATATCGTAACATTCCCTGGAGTCAGCGACCGCGAAGAGATGACTTAGATTTAGGTATTGCTGGCGAAATTAACAATATAACTTCATTTGCAATATAAATTTATATTTTATCAGAATGGCGTACGGGAGCTAGTGGTCGGGTAATTTTATATGATGAAGATACAACTTCCAAAACCGAAAGTGAATGGAAGAAACTCAATACACTACAACACTATAATGTTCCTGACGGCGCAGGCCTGAGCTTAGTACCCAAGCAAAGCTCAAACTACAACTTTTCAATACTTTCCGACAGAAATGAAAAGTGTCACAAGTGAGTCATATTGACGTTGTAATTTTTGTGCTACAATTTTTTAAAATTATGCATATTGCTCTATACTATAGAACATATTTCTTTCATATTCTTTAAAGATATTAAATTAAGTTTTGGTCCTAATGTTTCTCCCACAGATATGAAACATTGAATTTATCGAAATATACATCTTCCTCACCAACGTTTAGCCGAGCTGGTAGCCCTCTAAATCATGACTTACATGAAAATGGTATAAAATTTTGGCATTTGGTAAAACACCACGATAGCGATATTCAAAAGGAGGGTGAACGTGTCAATAAGCTAGTATCGGAGATATATTTGACACGTCTGTTAGCAACCAAAGGGACTTTGCAGAAGTTTGTCGATGACCTTTTTGAGACAATTTTTAGTACGGCTCATCGAGGCTCCGCGTTGCCATTAGCAATCAAATATATGTTTGACTTTTTGGATGATCAAGCAATACTGCATGGAATAACAGACCACGAAGTTGTGCACACCTGGAAAAGTAATAGTTTGCCTTTAAGGTAATTATACTTGTAGGATAGGGATCTCTCGATCATCTTTGCTCTGTGCTAACAAATCATTTTTATTCTAGGTTTTGGGTTAATTTGATTAAAAATCCGAATTTTGTGTTTGACATACATAAATCAAATATAGTTGATTCCTGCTTATCAGTTGTAGCACAGACGTTTATGGACTCGTGCTCAACATCAGATCACCGCTTAGGTAATTGTGCATTATTAATTTATGCCTTATTAACAAGTTAATGTACAAAACTTTAAACAGGTAAGGACTCGCCGAGCTCTAAATTGTTGTACGCAAAAGATATACCGGAGTATCGCAAATGGGTTGAAAGATATTATCGTGATATAAGAGAGATGCCATCGATCTCCGATCAAGACATGAATGCTATGTTAGCCGAGGAATCGAGAGTATGAATTATATACATATATGAATTACATATATATAAAATGTAAATTAATATCTTGAAACTTTTTATTTCAGTTACATACAACGGAGTTCAATACAAACTGTGCCCTCCACGAACTATATACTTATGCTGTAAAATATAATGAGCAGTTAACTGTAACATTAGAAGAAGATGAATTTTCACAAAAACAGAGACTTGCCTTTAAATTGGAGCAAGTTCATAACATGATGTCAGGAGAGTAAAAAGCTATACAAACTAGAAATTTTATTTTATATGCGATATAATTTTGCTAAGTGTCGTCTATTCTATCTAAACACACATATATAAAATCAATTTTATTCAACAAAAGAGCAAAGAAATACGGCACATTTAGCAGCTTTTTCATAAACTTTTGCTTAATTTAATAACAACGACAACCAATTATATACAAAAAAACGAGCAATAATTTGAAACTGCCAGTGTAGACATAATTGTTTGCAATGGATCGACACTATAATAGTGCCATTATTTATATAAAGTTTTGACAGAAAAAATAAAAACAGCAATTCGGATTTATCTGTATGCTAAACAAATTTAAAGAAGTAAAGTCGTCACTATAAATGTATTAAAAAATTGTATAATGTAACTATTGCTTTTTTAATTTGCGTACACAAATGCTGTAAACTGTTTGTAATTATCAGAGTAACGAAATATGATTTAAATTTTTTTAGTCTCAAAGGCAATCTCTTATGTGGTGGCGAACAAATGTTTCTGAGTATACAATTGACAAAAGGCCTCAAAGTTTATTAATATAGTTCCTTTTGATCTGCGTTTCTTGTTTACCAATATATATATCATAATTTTTTTTTTTATTGTGAATCCAAGAGAGTCCAACCACGTCAAATACTAAAAAAAAATATTATATTTTAATTATAATGAAAAGCACATAGTCAACATAATTTTGACTGTTTTTTTTTTTTTAAATCCTTTGGCTATTCTGTTTATTAATGCAGTTGTAAAAGTAGACATAAATCTTTAAAAAATATAATTTGCTTAACTGTCGCAAATCTAAAGGTTACTCACTAGTGCTGTTATTTAAGTATTTCTATAGTCGATTTAGATCTTTCCATCCCTTTGCCCATCTGTTGCAGATGGAATTGCATAATCACGAACATAAATATTAATGTAGCAGATTTAAGGTCATATAAACATAAATAATCGTAAAAACACAAAAACGACTGATTTTTATATGAAATATAAAGTAAAATAAATGTTTATATTATAAAATATATTATTTGGTTGTACTGCTAAGGATGTAAGTAATGTGTTAAATTAAAATTGTAGTAATAACTGTTTGTATAATTTATCTAAAAATTGTAAATGTGTACTGAATGTAAGTCGTAATCGTAACAATAAGAACTGTATTAGTAAATCTATTTGCTCCAAATTAGTGTAAACCTAGGTTACAGATGGGAGGTTCACTGCATAGGAATATGCTACTTATTATACATATATAAAGGTATATATTATGGAACTCGGATGACAGCGAGATTATACCATAACATTTCCTTTCTAACTATAAAATTTTCCAATGGTTCCCGAAATGCAATCATGAATTTTGTTACAACCCTCGTAATGGTGTTATCATTTGTAGATATTATGGGAATTGATTAACTTCTATTCTACTTTTTTGCAATTTTAAAAAGTTTCCTAATTAAAATTAGAAAAAGAGGATACATTAAGTTATATTTGTTTCGGCATTACTACTCTTATTATATTAAAACTAAAACTATTACAACGGTAAAAAATCTACTGGTACAACAACCATTTAATTAGCTTGCGCCTTGGAATGGAACTCGAGTCTACGGAGCCCAGTTTAAATAGTTGATAAATAAAACTCAAGTTTGCTAATCTAATTAAATTTTTTTTATTTGCTTGCTAAAATTAGTGAATATATACGTTATTTTTAAACAAATGTTCCGGTTGACTCGAAATTTATTTAGAGTGATTCAAATATGGTAAATAGTATATGGCAATCGCCATCCAGTAATATTAAAAAAATGTGGCGTTCGAATGTTGACATGTTGCTAAAGCTTTGGTTGGCATTCAGTAACATTACAAAATACGGGTATTTTCGGTTTTTGCTGTACTTTTTTGGTTTGGATTTTTATCGAATTTGTAAAATAAACCTTTTTACCTAGACAAGAAGATGCTTTATTTGTAAAAATGTGTCATCAAAAACAAAAACATATATGTATAAGCGCATATTTTTTTTATTTTTGAATTCAATGTACTTCAAATTTTTAGAATTCTTATAAGATATTATTTTCTTAAGAAAATGCGAAAAGATTGATTTTTGGAAAATTCTGACTACCCCTTACCCATTAATAGAAAAATTGCGTTTTAAAACGCAATACATATCATCCATATTACTTATTAGTATATCTGTATGTAAAGTGCACTTTTCACCCCCCTTATAAACCTCTGAACATTATGTTACCCATATCTTTATTATATTATATTATATACTATATGCTATATACATTTCACAAAAAAATTAAAAAAAAACAATTGCTAAGGGCAATAATTTAAATAGACGAATAAAATCCAGTAGTTAGTTTGTAATTATTAATCATATATTATTTGATGAATAATGCGGTTAAAGATTGCATAATATATTAGCCTTTATATTATTTTATAACTTTTTTTTTAATTGTTTCATGCATTATAATGCTTTAATAATTAATTGTTTTAAATCCTTCATTCATCTTCTATAGCAAAGACTTTTTAAAAGTGTATTACAATTATTAATAGAAGATATATCTTTTTAAACAATTTAGCGTAAGTTTTGATAAAAATAATAAAACGCAAATAATAATAATAAAAAAATTAGTTTTATATAAGCTATATTATTATTTATTAATTGTTAAGTGTGCTTTCTGTTCGTTTAGTATGATCATGTTCAGTTGTTTCTATATCTATAATAACTTTACTATTTTCGTAAAAAGTGGTATAAAAGATTACGTTACATGGATGTCAAGGTTGAATTATTCAATCGATATGACTACGTAACAGAGATTATTGTAATTAATATATGTGCAAGAGTTCAGCATGTACATGTGTACGTATTTCGTCCATCATTTTCCAGGCTGTTTTTTTTTTTTTGCAAAGGCCACTAAAGTTTCAGTTTCTGTCATAAAAACAATGATCTATTGTAAACAAGCTCTTTATTTATAATTTAAACCGTGTCTAATTCATATTCCTTTCCCATGTATATAGCATGGAATTTTTTGATACTTCGCATTAAGCGAATAAATCTACAAGATTGAGAAAGTATTAGCATTTGAAGGAATGTTTTTATCAAAACAATCTTCAAGGTTTTTGTTCTTTACAAAAGATCAAAAAATCTATATTTTTTATATATGAAATCAACTTGTGAAATAACGGACACCCTAATATGTATGTACGTAGTCCAATAAATCTCATATTAATGTCTAATACAACTATAACTTCATCTATTTATAATGAGTTACGCAATTAGATTACAATGAATATTGTTTACTATTAGTCTTGTAATTAGTATAGATTTTACATGCCTCTTTAAATCTCATATGATCAACATTGTGAAAATGTAAACAGATACGTATTTATTTCTTTCAGCTCTTCGTTAAAATTGCATGCACACTCTAATTGTTGATGATCGAACTGATTTAGAAAGTATTAAAATATATAATTACTGCTAATATCTTCGAATTTGAATTTAAAATTGCAATGAAAATAGTGTGGCAATTGATTGCAAGATTGATACACAATGAAAACAACGATATAAAATAGTGAGCGAGTTATCTACTTTTTAAATTTCTATCATAAAAACGATTTAATTGATTAGAACTATATATATATATTTATATTGTTTATACGTAACATTTATGTATATAATAATATGGTATGTATGTTCATAGGACTATGCTGGTACACACTTAACCATTTAAAACCTGAAAGCTTGTAAACTTTTTATATTACGAGTTAGATATTAAAACGTTTGTAAAAAGGTTATAGTTCATATGAGTGCTCTGTAAAGAAGTGCTTTTGCGCATATGTCAATTTGAATACTGCTCGATATTTACCAACGCGAAAAAATAGTCAAAATATAGTTACATTTACGCGATATTATATACATACATAAATGCATATATTTTCATACTACAAGACTACAATTTACTAATTAATTTTAATATTTAATATTAAAATGATTTATGATTAGGTTACTGGCATTTTCCAGTAAATTTCCTGAATTGACGTAACGTAGATTAATTTCAAAGAAAGTATGAATATAACAGATATATGACACCCTCATTGTTAGATGAAGAATGTCCAATGGTGAGTGTCATATTAAATGCTATTTTAGCGCAAAAAACATTTATTAATGACAAGAACTGTTGACTTTAAACCGATGGGAAATGGATTTTTGTCACACAATTTAATATCGACGTTGTTGTACTTTTCTCATGTCGATATTGTGTATCTTATTTTCTGTTTACAAAAGCCAGTAGTTAATAAACTAATGTCAACTTGAAAACAAGAAACAAAAATATACAAGACATTCTTAAAATGCGTTATATACGCAATATACTACAAAAGTCGTTTATGAACAAAACAACTACTTTGCAATTTGGTTGAGTGCAGAAGAATTTCAGAAGAATTGTTGCACAATTCAAGAAATACTGAATATCTAAAAGCACAATTACGTAAAAATAAATCTGAAACACCGCACAAACCTTTTTAGGAAATGTTGCTGGAGTTTTCGTCCCGGTATATCTGGCTAATCGAATTTTAGTAAGTTGTAAAATGTTTGTTTGGCTTTAAATTTGACTATGTAATTCTATATTATATTTTCTTAATATTATTGTATAAAGATGATTTACAAGACATTCCATAAAAATACGTAGTTAGAAATGTAAATGTAAGCAATGAAACCGTAAATAAATAGCGTAATAATAATAGGTTGTGTGTAAATCATGTATAGTATACCTTATATGAAAAATCCGTAAAGCATCATTAATACTACACTTACCAACAAGAAAATGTAAAGTTATTAAAAAATACATTTTAAAAATATATCACAAACAATGTACGTAATAAACTGTAACTACATAACATGCGAAAGCGTATTCGCAATCATAGCAATTTATTTGCATAAAATTCGAACAACTTTATAGCTAGAACATACAAAGAACAATACAAACAATTTAGGGTTAATAGTATACAACCTGTTGAAGTTGATTATCTTTACGCAAGTTAGCATTTGAAAGTAGAGGAAATTCAACTTTACCATTTTATACCCATGCTCGAAATATCAGAGTGTTGTTTGTGTAAGCTTGAAGTTCAACTCATAAGAACTTACATATTCATTCTACTCATCTGTCAAAGTTACGCATTCGCTTACGCATGTTATGTTGTTTAAACTTTGTATAAGTAAAGTGAATAGCAACGAAATGCTTCTAAATGTATAATTTGATTAATAAATGTTATAACAATAGTGTGAAAAATCTGTAATAGCATTTCCATAACAGCTTGTGACTTTTAAGAACACACAAAAAATTATAGCACAATAATCACACTATAATCACAGTATATTTCAACAAAAGCACAAAAAAAACAATGTATATTAGCTACACTACTCATATACTTGTATTTTATCAAAGGTACTGATATTGTGTATACAGCAAATACCGAGATTATTTAAAGAAAACTTCCCGGACAAAAACCTAACTAGTTCACCTCAAAACCCTTAATATTTGATGCATTAGGTTTAGTTTTATTTTTTATATTCTCTCAAAATGTTTCTACAGAGCAGTAAGGCAAATGTACGCACAATTGTGCATTTTTCCGCCCTTTCAACTCTAGTCGGTACGTAAGCACAATCGACTACTTTTGGTACGATATGACGAATAACGAAAATATGTACATACATATGTATATCTAAAACCTCTTTGTAATAAAAAGGTCTAAATTAATTACGAATATAGAACATTATCTAACTATTCAGAAATAAAAGATTTTTTAACAACAATGAATTGAACGAATATTTAGTTGCAAATGTTTTTCGTATCGCACAGGTATTCTGGCACTACCTTTTTTCGGCTTGTGTTGAGCGGATACTTTCTATACAAAATTTAATGAAAAGATAATGTAGAAACTAATTAGCTATCAAGACTTTGCCGCTTTGATTCAGACTGAACTTCATTAATTTCGGCACTCAACTACATTTTTGCCCAATTTCTCCACTAAATTCGACACAATTGAAAATCATCAAATACCATCCCTTCTACATAGTAAAATAGTTCTATTCACCTAACGGTTGTTTGTAACGCCTAACACTAATCGAGATAGATATAGAGATATGTACATATGTATATATAAATGATCAGAATGAAGAGTCGAGTTGAATTTTGGGTGATTCTGTCCGTCCGTTTGTGCAAGCGGTAACTTGGTAAAAAATTGGGATATTGAGTTGATATTGGTACACCTTGGCCAAGAGAGGTTGCTGTTGCAGATGGACGAAACTATTGCCACACCCACAAAATGCCGTTAACCCAAAACTTGTTGTATAACTAAGCTCCAAATTAGACTACAACACTGAAATTTGATACGATTAGGTTTAATTTTTATATCTTACTAACCGTATGAACTATTTCGACCGAACTTGCTAAGGAGGAATTCTTTTGACATATTATGTACATGTGAAGGTATGAAAATGGGTGAAATAAGAAGATAACCTCTCTCACTTCCCATATAACGGATATGTTGAAAACTGCAAAAAACGCGATAACTCGCTAAATAAAAATTGGACAGTAGGCATGGCACCGTACACCGTTAGGTGAGATCCCATATCTTAACCAATTTCAACAAAATT